GAGCTGCAGTGCACAAAAAAGGCTGAAAACAATACACTTTACTGTATACATATCACGTCTAGTTCACATCTTCACTTAATGTGTATCAAATAGAGTGGCATTAAAACGTATCCTACCTTGCTGTAGGAAATCCATGTCAGTACAAATGAATGTCAGTTCCTCAAAGAGCTATTTAGTTCAGACCTATTGTTAACTCCTTTTATAGCACTCTGATGATAGAAAAAAACAAAACAGTTGTAATTTTTTTTCAGTTTTTCTATAAATACTCTGAAACACAGACAGTGAGGTGAAGCCTGCTTCTTTTATTGAGCAGCAGGTGGAGGAGGTGTGGTCGGCAACAAGCTGCTGTTTGGCTGCTACTGAAAGGATGACGCTATAGTTGTGTATAGTTAGAGCTATAGGTTTCCTTTCTCCAATTTGATCACAGTGTTGGGTTAAGGTAAGGTAAACCCAAACAAAAAGTGTTTTGGTTTTATTTTAAGAGGGTTTGAAACTTCTGTTTCTCAGTTTTTTGCATTTTATTGAAATTGCCAATCTTTAAACATATTCAAAAATGTTCAATTTTGTGTTAAGAACAGGGGGGTCAAACTGATTTTAGTTCAGGGGCCACATACACCCAAATCTGATCTCAAGTGGGCCCGACCAGTACAATCATAGCATAATATAACAACTCCTTGCCTTTGTTTTAGTGCAAAAAAGTACATTCTGAAGATGTTCCCATTTAATGAACTATCTTTTTAAAAAACATTATGAACAACCTGACATTTATTAAAATGTCAACAATTTATTGCCTTAGTTTGATTACTGATTTACACTTGTGCATTACAACTTACAGACCACAGTGTATCTATAAAGGCACAAAACATGTAGTCCCGGTATTTGGAACTGAATAATATAGAGTTTCACTTAATGATCAAAAAAATATTTTACATGAATTTCCACATCTGTGTAGTAATCCTGACACACGTCATACAAACTAAAGAGGGAACTATTTAGGAAGAACGTTGAGTTAGCCCCCTGCGTTTTAAATGTATATAATGTATACATACAAAATACATAAAGTTGTGGAAATTGCAGTTAATGTCTTCTCTGTCATTTATTTTATTTTGCAAAGGCATCGCACGGCAGGATAGTTTTGGCGCCCGGGCCGTATGTTTGACAACCATGGTTTAGAACAATTATTTTTGTTCTGCAGCATAATCCTCATTAGCCAAATACATTAGGCAAGAGTGTTCATACTTGTCAAGCAAGTTTCCACAAGGAAAAAACAAAGTAGAGCCCTGAGTGATGATCATTTTCATTTCAAAGATGAACCAATGAGTTGTTAAAGTTTTGCATATTACCAAACTGTGTTTCTCTGATTCATAAATGCAGTACCTTTCCATTACCCTGCAATTCAGCCTGCTACCAGCAACAATGTTTTATTATTGATTAAACTGCTATTATTTTCTGAAATATTGTACTACATCCTTGATCTTTAATAATGTTTTGAGGAGTCTTAGGGGACGTTTTCAACTGTCTGTTGTGTTTGGTCAACAGTCTGACACCTACATATATATAGAGAATACAATGACATCAAACTGAGAATCTGAACTCATTAGAGGAGCTATAATAAGCACATTTAGGATATTTTCAGACAAATTGAATCAATAGACAAATGATTGGTAATGCATTTTCTATCAATGTGAAATAGAACTTAATTTAGTTGTGTCATATACATGTTGAAGTTAAAATAGGCATCCATTTGTCATAATTTAGAAATGTTGAACTTTAAATTACACATTCATTTCCTCCATGTCAGATTTCATCATGTCAGCTGAGCCCCTCACATAAAGCCTTTATCAGAGGAGCCAGAATAAGCAAATGTTTTACATTTCAAGACAATATGTTGATAATCTTATTATTTGGCAAAACATTTTCTGTCAATTTAGAAATATTACTAGTTGTTTCACATGTTTGGTAGTAGCCAAACCTGGGTACTACAACTTCCGTGTCAGTCTGTGACGTCATTGGGCACAAAAAGTTTCCCATCGACTTACATTGGGAAAGAGATGTCTGTAAATCCGGGTGGATTTTTTTTTTCAGCTAAATACACTACCCAGTAATAACACTTTTATAGCCCTTATTTGAATCATGAGGGGTTTAAAGATGTTAAATGCCCTAAAAGCCGCATCCAGAGTTATTCTCCCTCTCCATTCGTCTTTACCAAAAGATGTAAAGGCCTGTATGAACATATTTGGGTTTAAGAAAATGTATAAAGAAAGAATAACTAGACAGTATGAAGCTGTCAGGTAACCTGTTTCTCTGATGGTTGATTGTGTTTTTGGTTTCATGTTGTTAGTATTGGTTGTAAGCAGCAGTGATTGACAGACCATTGATTTTTGAGTAAGGGGTAAAATAAGACTTTATTCTCCCTGCTCCTTTCCATCATGTGCTAAAAAACTGCTTATTTTTTCATGTTTGGTCTTACAATAATTGCCATGAGTGGAAAAAAACAAACCACAAATCTGGCTAAGCGGAGAGCGGGAGATCGAAGACGGGGCTTAAGGGAAAACTAAAGTGCGCACATACTATTGTTTAATGATAGCTCTGCTCAGAGAGTCAGGCCTTGTGGGTCCTGCCTCCAACTCTGTATCCAGTTCTCTTTATTCATCCAAACCCCTGTAGAACTCTGTGAGCGGGAGCAGCGGTGGAGACTTTGAAAAGTTCCACTTTCCACCCATGACATTTCAACATGTCCAACCAAGGCCGGATTAACCACAGGGCACACTGGGCACGTGCCCAGGGGCCCTTGAGCAAGAGAGGGCCCTCAGTAAGAAGACTTTTTTTTTTTTTTTTTGGCACAACCTCACTCATCATACATTGTTTTAAATTAAACTCACTCTCCGCCGCAATAAATAGCTCGGCTTTTCTATAGGGTCAAATTCATATATTTTCTAAACCGTCTCTGTACTGTAGGTCTCACTATGTATGCGCTCAACTTTATTACTACGCGGCGGCGGTCTATAGCCGAATCACAACCCCACCTTCACTCATGTCACATTGACATTGTGTCACGTGAGCTAAAAAAATGGATGGTGCAGGTAGCAGCTGAACGCCCAGCGGGGCAGCGAAAAGAAAGACAAATAAAGAAAAGGAAGAGAGAGTGGTGGCTGCATTCAAACATTTCCCAACAATAAATAGCTTTTTCAAAAAAGCTAAAAGTGACGAATTAGGCCAGCAACCGCAAGGAACAGTGACGGTCACGGAGCCTGAGGATGTTGTTGAGCTAGCGAGTAATGTTAGGATTTTGATGAACTTATCACAGACTTTGCAAAGAAAAGGGCAAGGAAGAAACAATTCTAAATGGTAAGATCCACTGATTTGAGGGATTGTCTTACAAACACACATGCTCTCTCTATTGCACACACACACACACACACACACACACACACACACACACACACACACACACACACACACACACACACACACACACACACACACACACACACACACACACACACACACGCACACACACACACACATTGGGTAGGTGGGTTGAGGGGCCCTGAGCTCTCAGTGCCCAGGGGCCCAGGGAGTTGAAGCTCAACCATTGATGCATGCTTCTCCCTGCTCCTTTCCATCATCGGCTACACAAAAAGAGAAAAGTTCCTAAAGTGAACATATTTACTTTTATAATCATTGCCATGAGTGGAATAAATCACTATATATAGGCCATCAAACTGAACTTTAGAGTTGAGGTCTGCCAAACAGCAACTTCTTTCACAGGAAACTGCTCTGACTGGTGAAGCTTCTTCCATATCAAAAATAATCCACTCACATAGTGATAATGACCCCTGGCGTTCACAATATGAACTGCATCTAATATTACTGCTAACAGAGACTTTGAGACCATCTGCTGGTTGTCAACAGTTCCACAATTTCACAGACACACTAGCATGTGCAAACTATGTGTTAAGCAAGTTTGGATTGTTTCATTGAAAATGCACATGTTAAGGAAATAGTACAACTGAATAGATGTTGCAAACACCTTGCATACTATACAGTGATCTGTTGCAACCGTTTTTTTTTTAAAATATGACTTTGAAACAGAAATTGGGGGAATTGGGCCTGAACTTATTACCAATTACTGTTAAAATCCAAAATGAATAAGAAAGGAGAGCGTCTACCAAAGATGACCATCTGCTAACCCACCCAACTGGTGAATGCACACACTGTTATAAACCAGAAACAGTTCAACATATACTACTCCATTGTAGAAAGAACGTGTCTTATTCTGTCATTTGGGAGTGAGAAACAGCATCCTAAAGGAATATGTGTGATATCATACAGATTTTCACAGATCATGAAAAATTGAAGATTGCAGATCAGCTTGGAAAGCAGAAATCACATCATTTGTCAGTCTTCACTGTAGAGTTTATTGCAGTATTGTGGGCATAAGGTTAGACAAGGAAAATAATCCTATTTTTAGATTATACTACTGCTATCAAAAAAAAAGGCAAGAACATATCTAATATAGTACAAAATAATAATATTTACATTGAATTTGTAAATTGGTGAATACTATTGGGTTCCTGAGTAACGGTGAATAAATAAGCTTATAAAATAGCAAAAACAGGAAGTACGGTATGGAAGAGTTTAATTTAGGAGCTTGATAGCACATCTAATTCATGCAATTGTATGGCATAGGGCATGAGAGGAGGTAAACCAAGGTTTTATTGACAACACTGAAACACGTGTCAGATTCAGGACCAGGCAGTGGGGTGTTAACCAGGCTGAGACTGGCTCCCTGCGGACTGATCATGGCTGGCTACGGTCGGTAGCATCTGGATCAGAGATGCAGCTGTGGACAGGCAGACACTAGGAATTGCGCTTGAATGGAATGCACCAACAATAAAACAGGAATACACCTCTTGAACTCTCAGAAATATAAGTTAGAGACCATTGAAATCAATACTCGCTGCGGGAGATTGTGAATAAGCCAAAACTGTCCTTACCTTTCTTCATCGCAATGGACACGGCGCAACGATGTAAGCGAATCGATGCAGCTCTTCAACTGACCTGTAGGGGGTTCAACACGCCCTGCTGTGTTAGTCTGCCGCACGCTTCAACAGAAGAAGAAGAAGAAGAAGAAGAAGAAGAAGAAGAAGAAGAAGAAGAAGAAGAAGAAGAAGAAGAAGAAGAAGAAGAAGAAGAAGAAGAAGAAGAAGAAGAAGAAGAAGGCCTAATTCCAAACCGCCCCATCCATGGACTCAACGCTGTGTGTGTCCGTCAGGAAACAAGCTGTTTACAAACAGTTCTTGCAAACATCCACTGATAAATTGCGATGTTAACAACCTCATGATAACCTCATTTTTTTTACCTGTGTTTAGTCAAGAAAAAGGTAAATGTGTGCATGTTATTATAAAGTTGTGTATATGTACAGACTGTTGTAAAAACTAAGAAGGTTATAAACATCAGGTTTAAAAAATTAACACAATTAAAGATGTTTGGAGTTTTATTTTAGTTATTAATTTAAATGTTTTGTCAAAGAGATTTGAAACCGTTGTTACATACAGTTACGGCATTTCCTGTTTCTGCCGGAGAGAGGGGAGTTTGTCCCAAAGCTTGCCGCTGTGTTTACTCCCTCTATCTGACAGGAGGAGCCTCGTTGAGCTGCGAGTGTCGCTACAGACGGAGTTCACTCCGTCACGGAGGGGTAGGGTGTAGGGCGTGGTTTGGAATTGGGCCGAAGAAGAAGAAGAAGAAGAAGTAGTGAAGCAGCTGGTGCTGGTGCTGGGCGGAGCACTGATGAGGAAGAGGAACCGAAACAAGATAACCAGAATAACAATGTTATATTTGTAGAAATTGGTTTTATCTTCCTCACTTTGAGTCCCTAAGTGCCTGAGGTAATACTCTTTTTGAATGTTTACCTCGAGCTTGTTTCACAGGCGAGCTAATGTTAGCCGTTGTTAGCTTAGCTTATGCGAACTACATTTATTGAGATGTGAAACTAAAGCTCGATATCGTCATAAGGCTTATGTTGTATTTGACGTGTGTCCGAGGGAATAGTTTGTCCGGCTGCTGTGTACCAGCTGTCGGCGCTAGCATGCTCTCCGAAAGCTCACTAGCCGTCTGGCATTACATTAACGTTACCACCCTTCATTAAAACTAGTCGAACCATCGACCAACATCTGAAAAGCTAAATGTCATTATAAAAAAGCCTGTGCCACAGCTGTCTCTCTCTGCTCCAGTGTCACTTTTGGATAGTGTCCCATTTAAACTGTGGAAATAAGAGTCATGTGGCTCTATTATGACAGGACATCCTGTTCACCTTCAGCATGAAGTCAGCCACAGATTAATCATTACAAGCGTGTTTCACCAGAGAAATATTGCTGTTTATTTATTTATTTATTTATTTATTCATTGTTTAACCCTATGTAGGCCTATATTTTCGTACACAGTAAAAGTAGCAATACTGAAGTGTAAAAATACTCAGTTACAAGTAAAAGTTCTGCAAGCAAAAGTATACTTTCATAAAAGTACAAAAGTATTAGCATTAAAAGAAATACGGTAAAAAAGTACTCATTATGCAGATTGGCCCATTTGAGCACGATATATTTGAATTATTGTATTATAGTTATTGATGCATTAATGTGTTCATCACTTTAATGTTGCACATGGTAAAGGTGGGGTTTATTTGAATTATTTTATAAACTACTGGGTAGCTTAACCTATAATAATATATAATAATGTAGTAGTTGATTTATATTTTGTGTTAATAATCCAAATCTGCCAAGTAACTAGTAACTAAACACATACAATAAATGTAGTGGAGTAAGTACAACATTTGCCTACAAAATGGAGTGGAGTAAAAGTATAAAGTAGCAAAATTTAGAAAATACTTAATTCAAATACAAATAGCTACATTTTATTCTTCAGTACAGTACCTGAGTAGATGTACCTAATTACGTTCCTCCACTGCTAATCAGTAAAACTGCTGTTGGCTTTGGATTTTGTGATGCAACTCTCTGTTCATTTGCTTACAACACTGTTAGAAACTGCAGAAAAGCTCTATTTAATTATTATCTGTTGATGGGAATTTACCCTTTAGTTGTTTTTTAGTTTGTGGAGAGAATGGCCAAACAATATGGGTTGCTGTGCCTCAGTTCTCTTAAAAAATCACCATACTTACTTACTTACTTTTTTAAAGTGTGATAGGGAAACACTGGCATTATTACAGAAATGTAATATATCTTCAACAATTAGTTGAATCCTGTTTGGTTTAACAATCACAATTCCAGAAAATACAAAATCTTGATTTAAATAAAGAGTAACGATCTGTTACTGACAGAAAATGATAAGTGATGTTGTGTGTTTGTGTATTTTTCTCCTTCAGCTCAAGAGTGTTTGCATGAAGCCTTTGGGTACGACTGGTACTTTCTAAGACTGAGGACCACCATGGAGGAGACGAGTCGGGAGGCGGTTGCCACGGCGGTGCAGCGCGTGGCTGGGATGCTGCAGCGCTCGGACCAGCTGGACAAAGTGGAGCAGTACAGGAGGAGAGAGGCTCGCAAGAAGGCCTCCGTGGAAGCTAGGCTGAAGGTGATGTGAAGTGTAGCTCGCATACACTGTTTCATCCTACACATCTGTTCACCTAATGTTCAGCAACAACTGTTTCAGTCAAAATGAAAACCGGTCAACAACCCAAAATGCAAAGATCATCATTAAAATAAGGATTTTCAATAACTGCTGCAATTCATCAAAGTTCCTCAAATGCTAAAACCAGGAAATCAATGGTGCTATTTTCAAGCTAAATGATCCCTAATAAAAAATAAAATCCAAAACAGTTGTAGAATTTGTTCTTTTTATAATCTTAAAAACAATAATAGACTGAATGCTGCAGCACTAACACTATTTATTAAACACAAAAATCACAACATTTTTGATATTTGCTTTTAAAATACAATTGGTCTTAAAGGTAAACTTTAAACCATTCATCTTCGGTGTCAGTGAAGTGCATCTCTAATCGGTAGGGATGGGTATCGTCTGAAATGTATCGATTCCGATTCTGCTTATCGATTCCGGATCTTATCAATTCCCTGTTTCGATTCCAAAATTGTAAAAGAAAGAGGTCAAACGTTTAGATAACAAAAATATCTTTATTCTTTTAAGCTTTAACAGACATTTTTACAAATAAAAAAATACATGCAATACAAATGTATTGCACAATAGCCGTGCTTTATTTTAACTGAGCTATGCCTGTGGCAAGCTATTAACAGGCATTACACTGTGCCTTGTCTTTTTCTTTTCTAGTGTAGTGGAGCCTCACTTTAGAGCGTTTACCGCGATCCATCTTTGGTGTTATGAAATGACTGAGCTCGTGAACTGTCTACGGGAGGGCGGGGGGAGCCTCACTGCGGGGCAACTGTGGACCTCTGTCGCCTGTCAGCGCAACTTACATGATGCCGGCCGTCAGCCAACCGAGCCGGCCGCCAACGTCCCGCTGACGACCGGCCGTTCTGTGATTCTCCAGAACACACAGATGGCCAGTCCGCCTCTGTATTCCACCGGGTCGCCGCGGCGCAGACGGACCCGGTGGAATACAGGGTCTACCGCGTTTAGGAACCGTTAAGCAGAACCGAAATTGTGTATTTTGTATGGGTACCCGGTACCCAGTATTTTCTTATCGGTTCTCATCTCGAACCGAGTTTCGGTTCCCAACCCTACTAATCGGTCTGTTATTGTTTGGTGGAGATCGCTATTATTTGGTGACTTGATTGTGTATAACAGGCAGAGATGGGGTCGTTATTACATATTACATATTACTTTAAAAAAAAGTAATATATTACACTACTTCGTTGCTCTCTACATAAAGTAACTTGTTACTTTACTCGTTACTTTACTCGTTACTTTACTCGCAGGGCCGGCCCGCCCCTCCCTACAGGCAGATCACGCAGACTGCTAAAGTTTCAAATGTTCTCTTTAGTTCAGTTTCCATTGTCGCATAAGACTGATTCAGATAGCTCTGACCATGGCTGTCCTCTGTCTCCTGCTATCTGTATTTTGCGCAGTATATCTCTGAACGATGCGATGGTGATTCCACTGTGCAAATGGGCAACATTACCTCTACTATGAAGGATGCTACAAGCCTGTCCATCTCTGCTTTGGTTACCGGTCCTCCAAATTCTAATTTGTGCTGCTTCGGAGTCGGCGGCGGCGCACTCACAACATCCTCACTCTGGGTTCGGGGGTCCTTAGCTATTAGCTTCACCTTAGCATGTGTTCTTTGCAGGTGTTTGTTGAGGTTTGACGTGGTGTTTGCAGCAGTGGATAACAGCTTCTGGCCTGGACACAGTTTGCACCTCACCGTCACATTCCTGTCTATTCTTCGGACAAACTCAAAATAATGGGCATACCTCCACCCCTCGAAAGTTATCGCTGACTCAGCCATGTTTATGCAGCACTGCACGTGGAGATGTGGACGCGCAAGTCGCGCAGATTACGTACATACGTACGTGTAGCGCGTTACTTTGTAACGTGTTACACCCAACTCTGATAACAGTTAGCAATCAGTCAGACAAAAGCAAGCATTCAATATATACCACCCTTTAATTAATGACAGGAAGCACAAAGAATGGTGTTATTAACAATAGTATCTGTCTCTGGACGTCCTGCAGGCAGCCATCCAGTCGCAGCTGGACGGGGTTCGCACCGGACTGACCCAGCTGCACAGCGCTCTGCTGGACGTCAAAGACATCCAGGGCTCCCTGGCTGACGTGAGCAAAGACTGGAGGCAGAGCATCAACACCATCGAGAACCTGAAGGACGTCAAGGATGCCGTAGTTCAACACAGTCAGCTGGCCTCGGCTGTGGAAAACCTCAAAAACATTTTCTCTGGTAAGCTAGGTCCGCCTCCACCTTGAAGAAGTCCCATCACAGACTAAGGGCCTGTGTCCGCATATTTCTGATCGCTCAATGCAGACACCTATTTCTGAGCACTCTGAGTACTGTTCTTGTGCACATCTAGTTGAACATTTTGCAACTTTTTCTAGTTGAACATTTTGCAACTTTTTCAGAAAAGCACCATTGACATTACTGTAGAAATTGGAGGGGAAGCCTGTTTCAGCCATGTAATTTAGACAGAAACTGTCATTAGAAAGATTAAAAAGCTTGTTGGAGCAGAGTGAATTGAACAATGTATATTATCCAGATATCATGGTCAAGGAAACAATACAAAAATATATATATTTTTTTATGAAACACTGGAAGGAGGCTTTTTCCTTCCTGCCCCTTTTTGACAGAAAAACTCTCTGTGGACACAGGCCCACACACTGCCACTAAAGACACATCCCAGGCCTTACAAGCTATCTTTGACTTCTCTCCTGGTTCCTCATGCACTGCCCTCTGTGTGTGTCATGTTGCTGTGTGCAGTCCCAGAGATCGTGGCGGACACGCAGCAGCTGATCGAGCAGGGCGAGCTGCTGCAGGCACACAGGAAGCTGATGGAGCTGGAGTGCTCCCGGGACGACCTCATGTACGAGCAGTACCGCATGGACAGCAAGAACACCAGTGACATGAACCTCATCTCCATCTACTTTGAAGATGTAAGTTTATGTGATAGCATTTTTGACTGTTGTATACTTACTGTGAAATGTCTGAACATCGTACATCTCAGTTATAAATGTTTGACTTTCATTGACAGTAACTTGAAGGTATAATATGGTATATGTCAGCATTTAAATCTCTAAAAACCTCTTGACCTTTGCATTCTTTTTTGTAAAGTTTTGTACTTATATTTTCTTAAATGCTTCCAACCATTTACAAACCCAGAGACATTTTAATGACGGAAATGTTCGCTTTCATTTAGTCTCCTCTAATGGCATCAGATATCCTTTGTGCAAGTTTCAGCATACTTTTCATCCTGTTTTAAACCACATTTTTGCATTACACATTTTGATTTTGGTGATTGTGATTTGGTGATTTCACTATACTTGTAACGTTATAAGGGATTTTAGTCATTGGACGTCTGGATCTTAAAGTATGGTTGTGAAGGCAACAACTGCCATAATTCCATGCCACTTCACAATGCCAACAAATGTCAACACTTTATTTATTGGACCTGGATACTGGCTGGCATTAAATGCTTTTTTTTAATATTTCATAATGTGTTGTGTAATTGCAGAATATTTAGACAATAACATTAAAGGTGGGGTATGTACGTTTGAGAAACCGGCTCGAGATACACTTTTTGTTATATTCCATGGAATGCTCTTAACATCCCGATAGCAATGAATATCTTAAGTGCTTTGACAAAAAATCCATAAAAAAAATGTAATCTGTGGAAGCCTTAATACTGGAAAAAGCATGACCAATCATTTTAGCCGGCCCGGCTAAAATAACTGGATGGCCTACCTGCCTGTCAGCCTTCCATCTGTGCACAAACTTATCTCGTGCCCTCATTGGTCATGTGCGCGTTCATGTGTGTTGGAGGAGGGGCTCTATAAGGAAGTGGCAGATTTTCTCCGGCTGTGTATTTTCAAATTCTAGCGATCTCGAGCCGGTTTCTCAAACTTACCTACCCTACCTTTAAAGCAGCTCATTTGTTTTTCTTTTCACAACTTCTCCTTTTTGACTTAAAACTGTAAAGAATCTGTCAAGTTTTGGAAGGAGGGCCTTGTATTGCTGCAGTGAACAGTGTCTTCTTGCTGCCGTAATGAAAACATATAGATAAAGTCAAATGAACCCTGCTCAATTGATAATATTAATCTATTTGCAAAAAAGAACCTTATTATTGTATAGTTGTACAAATATAAGTTATATGTTTACGAGCTGATTAAGTCTTAAGCTCAACATAGTTCACCTTTCTGGTGGACACAGTTGTCTTCCTACATGTTACCTAGCGAACCAGAACTCAGAGTTAGTGTGTTTGTGGATCTCCAGGTTCAGGGTCTGTCCGATGAGCTGGCCAAGCAGCTGTGGATGGTTCTGCAGAGGTCCATGGTGACGGTCCGCCGGGACCCTACCATGCTGGTGTCGGTGGTCCGTATCATCGAGCGGGAGGTGAAGATCGATCGGCGTATGGTGGACCGGAAGAAGCAGAGCGGCTTCATCCCTCCTGGGAGACCCAAACGCTGGAAGGACAAGATGTTCGAGGTGAGAGGAGGATCAGAGGATACATCTTTATATACTCAAAGTTATGAAGAACATTAATTGGCTCACTCTTTTTTGATCCTTTGTCATCATCCAACTTACTCTCTTATTCATCGTTAGATTTGTTATTCTTATACAACCCTTCTATTTTATATTTACCAAGCCTCCTATCTTTTCTTTTATTATTTTCTTCCCCCTTTTTTAAAATAATTAATCTAGATTTTAGTCCAACACTTCTTTAGGTTTTTCCTGCTCACCTAACTCCAGACTTTTCCTTCCACACAAATAGCTGCTATCCATTTTCTTGCAAGTATTTTTGCTCTTCTTTTGTTCCTTTCTCTCTTCACAAACATTTACACAGCAGACAGGTCTATAATGTCTTATATTTATATATGGAAAGCATATGGAGCATGATTCTTGTCAGAATCATGATTAAGAGGCCTTTGTCCAAGCCCACAGTGGAACATGGATGTGTGTGTGGAAGATGTCATCACCAGTAGGGTTTCCTTGTACATTGCTACTGTTAACACTAAGACGTGAAATGTAAATGTTTCATCATTTTTGCGCTAATTCTTATATATTTTTTAATACACACATTATATTGATTCAATATTAGACTTTATAAATATTAGAATGTTATTGTTCATTTAAGTAGGCCTCGTGTAAAGAACAGCTGTAACGTCCATCTTAATCTTTAGTTGGCTCCTCTGTTTTTTGTTTTTGAAGTGTAGGCACACTCTGACTAAAAGCAAATATGTTTATTGCCATCCTAAGAATCATTTGAATATGCAGAGCCAGGGAGAGTTCAGCAGAACTGACGGTGGCCTACAGTGTGAACACCTTCTCTAAACCTTCAGTATTGTAAAGGCCCTGACACACCAGGCCAATATCGGCCGTCTTCGGTTGTCTGGCGACAATGCGTTCCTTGTCGCCCAAAGTCAATTTGGTGTGTCCCGAACCCTCGGCCGTGACACGCCTTATTTGGCCTTTCACGGTCGACAAATGGCCGATTCAACATGTTGAATCGGCCATTTGTCGGACACAAGCTATCGGGCCAAGAAACCACTCTGATCAGCTGTTCAGCTAGCAAATGAGAAGCGAAACGGAAGTGAGGGACGTAAACAAACGATTTAAGAAGGCACAGGACAGCAGCTAAACCCCAGCAGGTGATACTTAAAGACATCAAACATAGCCCTTAAATGTCCTCTCTTACCTCCCACACATAGCAGGGACATCTCTGATATCGGCGGGAGCGTCCCCGGCTGTCCTCTGCTGAGAGCTCCGTGATTTGTTTGGTCAAGTCCGGTTTTTCATCTCATCGGTTTATTTGTCAGTAAAGTTGCAGGATTAGTCTCAAGTACCTCAACATTGTCCTTAAGTACAGTGTCTAAGTAAATGAGATGCTGTCTACCGCTGTTCATTTACCTATTGTGAGTCGCCTCGGATAAAAGCATCACATGGAAATGTAAATTTAGCAAGAAGTGGCCATTATGACATTACATACATTACTACATTGCTGACTCAATAAACTACACACCCGCCAGAACACTGCGATCATCAGATGCAGGTCTATTAACTGTGATTTTATAGTATGTCTGCACTTTATGTGCTCATTTCATCATTCATGTATTTTTATATTCTAAAACTTGTTTTCGATGGACGAGAGTGAAAATGGAACACACACGCTATTTGTTTGTTTATATCAGTCTGTTCTTCTTCTCTGTCTTCCGGTTGTTGCCTATTTTGAATGACGAATAGACACTACCGCCGCCTGCTGGTAAGGACAGTTATTTCCACTCACACATGCGCAGTTCGTACGTGCTCGGCTGAAGTCTTTGCGGTGTGTTCCAGTGCGACACATGGCCAAGACGCAGGAGAACTCGCCGATGCAACAGTCGGTGTCGGCGTCGGCGAGTTCTCTGGTGACTGCCTGGTGTGTCAGGGCCTTAAGACATCAGGTCCAGCTACCAGCAGCCTCGTTATGTTTCCAGTGTTATCGCTCATCAAAGCATTTCAACAAAGTAATTACGTGTTGTGAGACTGAAAGTATGGGACATTTTAGGATTCATGGTAATATTATATTTGTTTAGCTGCAGAATCAGACAAGGCCAATGAACATTTAGTTGCCTTCACCTCGGTAAGAGGTAGTTTTCTGGGAAACTGTAGCGACTCTAAAGCAGTTTCCTGGGTGTGTTCCTGAGGTCCTGATGTGTGTGTGTTGCAGGTGTTGGAGGGGACGGTCAGCACCCGCATTGAGGGCACCCAGTCAGTGACCAGAGAGGCTGATAAGATGTGGCTGGTTCGTCTTTTAGAAATAACCAGGAAATATGTTCTGGATGACCTGATCGTTGTGAAGAACCTGATGGTGCAGTGTTTCCCCCAGCACTACGACACCTTCAACAGGTAACACACACACAGTCAGCAGCGAACAGATATAAACACAAGGTCATGAAGTGTCCAAATGGCGCCTTTTTTCTTGTGGAAAGGCATCAAGAAATGTTCCCACTATGACAACAATATGTCAATTACGCATCACCGCTGTTGTAAGACAGACTAGCATGGATTTTTGATCTAGCTACTGTATATATGTTTTTTTTCACTATAAGCACCAACAGGAAGATTCTTGCTCTCACACTTTGTATGAATGAGCTTGTCATTGCTCTGTTTGAAAGCCCTATAGCGAGGGAGGGGGCCATAACAGTCAAACACTCAGCGTTAGTAACACAGGGTTCCCGCGGGGTCTTAAAAAAAGTCTTAAAAAGTCTTACATTTGATAATCTGAATTTAAGGCCTTAACCCTTTGGAGTCCTGGGCTAATTTGGCCGTTTTCGCATACTTTTGATTTGTCTTACTAAACCCCATTAAGAAATGTTTGGTATCTTCTTTTTAAGGACAACCTCACCTATATAACCTGATAGTTATTTTTTTCATTTTGAGATACTATATGAACATTTTGGACCCAAAATCACAAAAAAAAAAACGGATTTTGAAAATGATATTACTTTTTATATAGGTAACACAAACATGCACAACGAAACCATTTGAAAGCTGGAAATATATACATGGGATGTCACTATGATAATGTGAAAGTTTGATTGAGGTAGCATGAACCTATATACACATTTTATGAACAAATAACAGGTGTATCCATAGACGTTTTTTCCTCATTTCTCAAGTTCTGTCAACAGTGACACAGTAGGCACAACAAAACATTTAAAAGCTTAAATAATGTACATTGGATTTAATTCTGATAAGGCAAAAGTGTTATTATAAATATAATACAAATATATATATACACATTATGTACAAAAATCAGTTTTTTCTGTCTTTATCTGTGCCACGCTTCAAAGCAGTTTCTGTCAACAGAGGGCAACATCACAGGCTCCTCCTCCTCCTCCATGTCAAAAAACACGCTTATAGCTTGACTCACGTTCAGAGTTCTCTTCATAGTTGAATCTTCAAAACTCTAAATCTATCTAACTATATCTAAATTCTCAATGTTTGTCTGTCACTTTACTTCATTCGCCGTCTGTCTTCGTCTCCCGCCGCCCGCCGCCTGTCTTCGTATATCTTCGTCTCTCTCCATTTCCTGCCGTCTCTCTTTGGTTCCCGCCGTCCCTCTTCGTCTCGTTACGTATCACTCTGTTTACCTGATTACCTCACCCCCTCCCTGGTAAATACATCCTGTTGAGCAGGATCTACAGTTTCCAGTATTTTCCGTTTCGTAAAATGATAAAATACCGCGAAGATATTAAAATATGTGCTTCCATTTTTCATACTTTTGAAATATATTTGTATTAACTTTATATCATCGTATCTCCGTGTTTACTGGGTCTTTTTGCATGAAACAAAGACTGGCATATAGTTTCAAGCCAGTACTTTCGACAGAAACACACGGCAATGTTGTCCGGACTGTTGTTTTTATGCGGCACCGGCTTGAACAGGTCATGTGATCTGATCACGCCGGCGTGACGGTCGACTCCAAAGGGTTAAAAAGGTCTTATATATGACCAAAAAAATAAGAAAGGTCTTAAATATGATTTAGAAGGTCTTAAAAATGATCGGATTTGAAAGGTACTTCTGTGTTGCGATCGCGTCTAAATGTGTTTTGGGGGAAATGTCCGGGCTGCAAAGTAACCAGTACGGTAAGAGCCTTTCAGTTCCCCCCCAACAATTTGTATTGAAATAAATCAACATGGAACCAGTAATCACTAACTTTGTTTCCCCCGGCCCCTTATTGGAGAACACCCAGCTAGTAACCTAGCAAGCAAGCTTCAGCTAGCGGCAGTCAGAAACTCAGGTATCTTAGAATCTACTTAAAAAATAAATATGGGGAAGTGTAAGTTCAACCGTATTTGGTTGGAAAACATCGAATTTATACCCCTTTCACACCAAGGCTTTTCCCGTTCTAGCTCCGTGCTAGAGCTTTTCTGGTTCAGAACCGGTTCTTCGGTTCAGCTCCCGCTCTGTTCACACTGCTCAGAGCCCGACTGGTGCTGCCGCTGCTGCGTCATGACGTCACAGTTTACGTCGCTGATTTTCTCCCCAACGGAGCTCACAACAACAACGAGCCGGGGACTGCGTCGGGTCGATGATCGTGTTGCTTTTAATCATACGAAGCCAGATTAAATTAAATAACGACTTCTCCAACCTTATACTTTTCTCCAGAGTGCCGTGGTTCATTGTTTATTAATGTGTTTCAGCGGCATTTACCGACCGCTGCAGTGCTGGCTGCTCTTCCACGGGAGTTTATTCTCCCGTTAGCTCCGGGTTAGCTCACACGGCTCTAAAGTATTCACTGTCTGACTGTCACACAAGCAGCTGATACATATCCCCAGTTCCCCTTAAGTGAATGTGTGTCAGTCTGAATTGACGCTGTTTGGCATCACAACGCTGTTATGAAAGTTTCTCTGGTATAACATGGGTGATGTTAGCATAGCAACCGAAGCTAAACTGACTACTTGCTAAGCCGTTTTCTACAGGCACATTTTACCGGCGTATTTTTCATTATGATTCTACTTGTGATAGTCGGACATGACAACCTGTGCAGCCCATGTATTGATTCCATCCGATAGCTGCTATAATAACAAACAAAACGTCTGCCTGCTCTCCACAATGATCAATAACAGCGAACGGATGGTCAAAGTAAGGTACAAATAAACAGAATCACACGAAGCCTGGTTAGTGTTGCCTGACTTTATAAAGTGTGTTTTTTTTTTTACAAGTGTGTGGTTGCCTTCTAGTCACTTTGCTCAGCGCTACTGCTTGTTACAACTTTTATTTGCCGTACTCGCCTTAACTGTTAGCTCAGGTTAATCTCGCCCCCCTCCGACGTAAGCGTGACGTATGCGGTTCTTGCTTCTAGACGGACAACTTTTTGGTGCTCGAAACGAACCGGATTCCGGAGCTTAGAGGCTGCTCCGCTGCGGTGTGAACAGGAAAACCCGGTGCTTTTCAAGCTCCAGCTCCAGCTCCAAACCGGCCCTGAAACACCGTTGGTGTGAATGGTGTATTAGTGCTTGGTTGAAACCAGTGGAGGGGAACGTGTTTGAAGCCAGCTGCACCTTTTGCAAAAATAAATTAGCGTTTGTTTTGCTAATGTAGCGTTAGCTAGTGCAGCAGCTCCCACAACAACACCGGGGGACCTCCGGGCGACGTGTGGGTGTACGTCAACCCTAAAAGCGGAGGTGCTGTAGATGCTAAATACCGTAGCTAAACACCAATCATACAACAGCAACGATGAAAGATTGTAGCCAAGGCAGCAGAGCTCTGAATATAGCTCTTGTCACTCTCTCACACACACACACACACACACACACACACACACACACACACACACACACACACACACACACACACACACACACACACACACACACACACACACACACTAGGGCTGTGCGATTATGGCAAAAATCATAATCACGATTATTTTGGTCAATAATTGATATCACGATTATTAAATACGATTATTCATTGACTTTGAAAACATCCATTTATTGAACTTTAAAACAAATAATAATTTGAACAGTATCTTTTTAACTGTTGATTACCCTGAACGTATAATTCAACTGCAAAACCAATACAAAAATAAATTAAATAAATAATATCAAAATAATAAATACCAGAGGTGACTCAAGTCACATGACTTGGACTCGATTCAGACTCGAGTCACCAATTTGATGACTTTGGACTCGACTTGACAAAATCACAAAACACTTGCGACTCGACTTGGACTTGAACACCAATGACTCGGGACTTGACTTGGACTTGAGCCTTCTGACTTGAGGTGACTTGATCATTTAAATCAGGGGTCTCCAACACGCCGATCGCGAGATGCCGCTAGAAGAGCAGACTCCCGTCGGGAGAGCAGAATCTTCAGCCGCTGCAACTCTTGCTGAGAATCCTTGCAGGCAGGGGCGGGTCTTTATTTAGCTGGGCCACCATGCGGCCAATCATATGCGAGGACACACTAGGATCATACCATTATGTGAAAGAAGGGTGGGGGGCAGACGCTCCAAAGACAGCAGGTGTAGTGGTACAGGCCAGCTACACAGAGCGACGGGGAGACGGATTTAAATGCAAGCGCGTCGGAAAAAGTCAAGAAATGAGCGAAAACCGAAAAAAGAAGCAGCATCTGGCTGCATTTCAATGATATTGGAGAAAGCAAAGCTGAGTGCAGGATTTGTAAAATGAAAATAACCTTCAGAGCAGGTTTTTTTTTGGTAACCACTCAGGATTTATTGTCAGAGGTGGGAGAAGTTCAGATCTTGTACTTGAGTAACAGTACCAGAGTGTAGGAACACTCGGTTACAATAAAAAGTCCTGCATTCAAAATGTTACAAGTAAAAGTACAAAAGTATTAGCATCAAAATATAGTTAAAGTACCACCTGCAGAGGGATCTAGATTCAGGTGTTCTTTTCCCCATAGAGACGCCTCGCTGCACATTATCCCTTGCATAAAGATAGGATTGTGGGTCCCTTATAACATGTTGTACACAGTGGAAATAAACATTCTGGTTACCTCAACATCAGGGATCTTATACATTAAACTCCTTCTGTATCAAACCGTCACGGTAGCCTTACCTTACTGATCCCTCTTACAATAGAAGAAAACACGTTACTTTACCAGCAGAGAGAAAATAGATTATTACAGTATTAATGTGACTAATAAAGAGCAGTTTAATTATTAAGTATTATTCTGTTGATGGGTGTCATTACATTTGGTGAAAAGCACATAAGGACTTGTTTAAGACTCGTTTTGTCAAAGTTTAGGACTTGGACTTGACTTGAACTTGCCCATCCTGACTTGAGACTTGACTTGGACTTGAGCGCAAAGACTTGAGACTTGACTCGGACTTGAGCGCAAAGACTTGAGACTTGACTCGGACTTGAGCGCAAAGACTTGAGACTTGACTCGGACTTGAGCGCAAAGACTTGAGACTTGACTCGGACTTGCAAAACAATGACTTGGTCCCACCTCTGATAAATACCAATAAACAAGATCAACAAATATTTTGGAGCGCACTTCCACAAGCTACTAAACATATGATAAATAAAAATAAATTAGACTAAAATTAATTAGATCAAATATGTTGCAGTGCACTGTCACAATCTAGCAAAGCAAAATAATTTCGTAATTGTGGCAGGCCAAAATCGTAATTGCGATTAAAATATGATTAATTGCACACCCCTAACACACAGACACACATACACTTTTTGTCTAACACCCTAACACAGTGCTGTACTGTTATGCCTTTACATTTACTTTGTAAGTAATTATGGGACTTATTTCTTCTTTCATAGCAATTTTCCTTCATACTTTCTTGCCGTGAAATAGGTCTTAAATTCTATTCAAAGTGGTCTTAAAAAGTCTTAAATTTCAGTAGGCGAAACCTGCAGGAACCCTGTAACATCCGGTGTCCACCCGGCCGACCTGCTCCAACAAACAGGCTTTTAGGTCTTTCTTATGATCGTTTCCGTCCGACAGACAAGGCCAACACAAGCTTTTCATCCAATTTATAAAGTGACGACACTGACACTTTTCTGAATAGTGGAAACATTTTCAACTCGGAGCCGACGCTTGAACAGTTGACATTGGAAATGGGAGCCACATTCACATGAGTTTCCCCCTGACAAAATTGCAATGCAACAAACTGAAACAGGCTGTTGTGAATGTATATGCTTAACGTCCCAGTATTCAGTTGTACATAATTTCCACCTTCATTAATAATGCAGTGATTGTTTGCATGTTTCAGGTTTTTCGGTCTCTACCACAATGCTGTGTCCTCTCGCGTCAAAGAGCTGGCCGCTGAGGACCTGGAGGCCAATGAGATCGTGTCCATGCTCACCTGGGTGCTCAACACCTATAAGAGGTAACACTTTGAGAAGCTGCCTGTGTACATGTATGTGTTTGGGATCGGGCTGCACAATGAATGGATTATTGCAATATTCAAATAGCAAAAGGCTAAAAGTATGTTAATATTATTTTGAATAAGGTATTGTGCTTCTGCATTGATGTCCTGGCCTACATATAATTGTATACAGACTTATTAATATATCTTTGTTTGGTACAGATTCTACTAAAAATCACACCATGATCATTTTAATATATCTTTCAATGATAATGAGAATAATGAAAAAATAATCAATCCCTCAAATACCGTAAATCGTATCGCAATTACCATATCAGTGATAATATTTAGTTTCAAGCACTATTGTAAGACATTCATCCGTTCAAAGACATAACTTGACATTTGTCCTTTGTTTTGGGGGTTCTGCAACAGTCAGAATTAATTTGGTAAATTCAACAATCCTTTAAATCATTTGTGATGATGAGACTTAGTTTGTTGTCTCCATGGTGACCTTTCATGCAAACATGCATGGAGATGCATGTTTGCACTGACTCTTTCTATCAGTTTGCACATTTATTGCCAGTTTGACGTCATTTATTATTACATTCAACAGATTTGTCTTTCTTAACTATAACACTTGTTTCAGAGTAACTTAAGAATCCATTGGTATTACACACAGGAATCTAACTTTGTATTTGACAACATCATTCAGATTAATTCAGCCCTGTGTGTGTGTGTGTGTGTGTGTGTGTGTGTGTGTGTGTGTGTGTGTGTGTGTGTGTGTGTGTGTGTGTGTGTGTGTGTGTGTGTGTGTGTGTGTGTGTGTGTGTGTGTGTGTGTGTGTGTGTGTGTGTGTGTGTGTGGTGTGTGTGTGTGTGTGTGTGTGTGTGTGTGTGTGTGTGTGTGTGTGTGTGTGGTGTGTGTGTGTGTGTGTGTGTGTGTGTGTGTGTGTGTGTGTGTGTGTGTGTGTGTGTGTGTGTGTGTGTGTGTGTGTGTGTGTGTGTGTGTGTGTCAGTGTGGAGATGATGGGCAACCCGGAGCTGGCTTCAGAGTGTGACATCAACGCTCTGGAAGCTCTGCTGCCTCAGGACGTGGTGGACGACCTGCTCAGCAAATATGTCAAGACTTTTACAGTACGCACCACACTCTAACAGAAACTCTAACACTTTATACCTGCCTTTATTTCACTCCCACCTTCTCTTTGGAGTCCCCTCATTATCAGAAGGGCCACACTTAACATAGACCTTGGACATTCAATCACAGTAATTTAACTACAAAAAATTACCTTGTCTTACCTACCTGTAAGTCCACTGCACAGGCCCAAAGAGTGGTGCAGGAATTAGTCATAAAACCCAGAAATTAGTCAGTATTTAAAGGGCCCATGTCATGCTTTTCCGGTTATTACCCGTCCCCTTGTGTGTTATGAAGCTTTTTATGCATGTGAACGGTGTGCAGAGTCACAAACCCTCAAAGTACACCCTGTAGCGAGTAAAACTCTAACACAGAAAATACCTCCCCAAAACGCCTCGTTGGAGATACGTCATTGTCCATTTGATTCTTCCATTTCGTTCCGGGTACGGCATGATGTCAAGCCGTACCCGGAACGAAATGGACCAATCCGTGGAGCCGTTACGCTACGTCCGCGGAGCCGTTACGTTAAGCCCCCGCTGATTGGTCCAAATTGACCAATCCACGGACTTCCTCACACACACATCTGTGTGCAGGGAGCAGGCAGCTCAGCTGATTTCTCCTCCCTGGCTGCAGGCTGATAACAGACAGTTGGGATCGCGGCAAAATTCTCTCTGCAGACCCATTCTCTCTGCAGACCCATTCTCTCTGCAGACCCATTCTCTCTGCAGACCCATTCTCTCTGCAGACCCATTCTCACAGCGTTTATCAACCTTTTTCTTACTCAATATCAAGCCACACTTATTGTTTTTACTTCGGCTGTGACTTTGTGTGTGCTCAGGATGAGTTTGGATGTGTTTGGCTGTGTATCGCTAACAAGGAGACAACACCTCCACGGAGCTCAGCGCGATTCACAACGTCCCGACCAATCAGAGCACACTGTGCTCACAGGGAGGGTGGGGGCTGGAGCTATTGGAGCTACAACGAGCCGTTAAAGGCAGAGAGTGAAATTCAGTGAATACACGTAGTTTACAGAGATGCTGTGTGAGAAACCAATGTGAGTTTGGAAAAATGCACAATATAAATCTATTCTAATAGACCTCAACAATGGAATTATGATCAGTGGAAATGGCCATGACACCTCTCCTTTAAGACTTGGAGATTATCCTGCTGAACAAAACGTGTACGTATCACAAAGGTGTGTTTACAACAGAGATACTTTTTTGCAAAATTCCAATGTAAAATCCCATTGCATTTTATTGAGGGAGCCCATGCGATGCTTACTTTAGATGGACCTACTAAAATACGTCATCACTGCACCTCTCTATTATGTGTTAAATAATAAACATTCACTTCATGTTGCTGAATGTTGGCGAATAAAACGTGTTCCAACTCATCTTTTAGAGAAGCGTGGATCCAGACACTGTTTGACTATCCATATGTTCAGTCTAATATCACAGGCTGGCTGCGCAAGGCTCTGGAAACAGACAAGAAGGACTGGCAGAAAGAAACCGAGCCTGAGGCGGACCAGGATGGGTACTACCAGACCACGCTGCCCGCCATCGTCTTCCAGGTAACTCCTTCAGACACAGCCACTTCAGACCAATGAGAGTATTCCTGATTCCTGATCCGTGTATCTCACTCCATCTCTCTCTCTGATGTTCATGCTCCTTCCCTCCTGTCTTCTTCAGATGTTTGAGCAGAACCTGCAGGTCGCTGCACAGATCGATGGGGATTTCAAGGAACAGGTTCTGAAGCTCTGCCTGAAACAGATGAACACTTTCCTTATCAGGTAAACATATCTTTCTGATACGATAAACGTCTCTGAAACCTATCCTTTAAAACTGTTGGGATTCTATTCACCAAACACATCACAAGCTCAATGGAAAAGTGTGGTTTGTTCTGAATTGAAGGTTGGATATGTAAAACAATATAGCATTACATCTTGAGTAATGTTTTACTGTTCATGGTTGTGTGTTTAACTTTAGAAGTCAGAACTCACCTTCAGTTTTCTGTTGAAAAAGTTACCACAAGTGTGTTCTACGCAAACAGCGCTCTGTAGAACAAACTACTGCAATATTCCTCACAGTGGCTGTGTGTGTTGCTGTGTGTGTGCTGTGTGTTGCTGTGTGTAGGTACCGAGAGGAGGCGGTGACCTACAAAGAGGAGCACCTGAGGGACAGACAGCTGCCTCAGTGCTACGTACAGTACATGATCGCCATCATCAACAACTGCCAGACGTTCAAGTAAGATTTCATTCATCAACTGCTGTTAGCACTTTTATTAAATATACCTCTGGTCATAATGTGACAATGTCAAGTTTGTTGTCAGACAGGGAAGGGTCAAGCTATTAATAATATAGGATTCAGTGTTGAGTGCTGTAAATGTCACCAGTTGAGGGCAGAATAGTGAATAGAATATGGTGACCCCATTAGGAGGAGGCAAAAAATTATCTGATAAAAATGTTGCCTTACCAATGAATATATTATCTTTTATATATATAATTGTGTAATAACTATTAAATCCTGGGCCTTAAACTATATATATATATTATTTTTTTTTTAGCCAGAGGAAGAAGGACATTTAAACTAAAATGTCTAAATATCTGAGTTTAACAGCATGATTATTTATCTCTTTTCATGTAACTGATATCAAACCCAGTGGGGTTTGATGTTGTGGTGCTGACATGTGCCTGTGCTCCTCAGAGAGTCCATCAACAGTCTGAAGAGGAAGTACTCTCAGAGTTCGGAGCCCACTGACAGTGACGCTGCCATCGAGAGGACCCTCAGCGAGGTGGCCAAGGAGGGCTGCCAGTTCCTGCTGGACGAGGTCTTCCTGGATCTGGAGGTAGGGGGGCTGAACTAGGCTGAACTGTATCTACTGTTTATCTATATACAGTACAACCAAAATATATAAATGCATTTGAAATTAAGGTATTACAGGTACAGTAAATGTGGTCTTTAATAATCCTCTGATATTTTGTTGTTTTACACAGTAGTCATGAAATCCACTGAGGCTGAACTGACGATAAAACAATAATCTCACAAAGACAAAAAAACATATTCCCATGGTATCTAGCCTGACAAGTAATGTCTGGTCTGTGAGTTGTTGCGTTATCCTCTGCCATTACCCTAATACAATTTCTGCGAATGTGATTTGATTTGTGCTGCACAATGCTATAAAATATATATATTTTTAATTTAACAGTAACACCCATGCATGCAAATAAGTCGCTTTTTTAACGCTGATTTGGGTGACTTGTGTAATTCGTGGAGAACTGAAGAGTTTTCGTTTTGGGGGGGGTCCGCAAAAATCTAGACCGCAAAATAATTAAACAAGAGAGTGCCTGTTTTTCCAGGCCAAGGACAGGTTCCTTGAACACAACACGAGCGTAACATCACGTGGTGTATTGCTGACCGAGAGCACCGGCACCCCGCTCCAGCACTTCAAATATTGCAGTACCCATAAGGAGCTGTACACATGCCGCAGTTTTTGCGTGGCTGTGTCTTTAGTTGTAAGCCCAGTGGCGATCTGTTGTTATTAGCATCTGGTTAGCTAGCTATGCTAACGAATTTAAAGAGCTTTTTCTATGACCAGGTGGAAGAGAGCTCTCTCCCGACAGACTGAGAGGCTCAAATAACCTCAGCTCAGTGAGGTTAAGGCACACCTTCATATGATCATTATAGTTGTAAACAAAATAATAAATTAAAAACAGGTATAAAATACTATATGACAGAAACAAAAAAGTTGTAAAAAATAACAAAAATACAGTTTAAGAGGGGAGTGATTTGTAAAATATTCATAAAAAAAGAAAAATGTGCTTACAGGTCTGTTTCATATGGATGTTGAGAGATGTATCCATAGATCTCCTAATGTTGCTCTCAAAGTGCACCAGATTGATGCTTTTAACTTCAACATTTAAAAAAAAATCTTCCCGGGGGAGCATGCCCCCGGACCCCCCTAGAGGATGTGACGTCTCCCCCCACTTAAATGATCTAGTCCACATGATCTATGATACTAAATACATTTGCACACATCTTGTGTCCATATCTTTCTGTTTTGTTGGTCATGCCACAACCGTGCACGTGCATGCACGAGTCATGGTGAGATATCTGGATTAAGAGGTTGCTTTTTCTTTGCACAGCATGAAAGAAAGGCCAAATGAATGGGCTGTGATTTTAGGATTTTTAAGTAGAGGTTGAGGTCAATAATTTGTACGGCCTTTGGAGGATGTTGTAAAAATTGAAATGGCCCTTGATAGGGCTGCACGATTTGGGGAAATAATCTAATTGCGATTTTTCTGACAGATAATGTGATTGGGATTCGATTTGCGATATTTGTTTTTAAGCGACCCATCGGTAGTTTATTGTAAAATGCGGCCATATCTCCGGCTAGGAAGGTCGTATCAACGTGCTCTAGCACCCCCACAGCCCGAGCTACGAGTGAAAGAACTAAACTTACATGAAACTTCCGTTGGGTTGCTTTAGAGTCAAGATTCACCCTGTAATAGAAACATGTGATGGAGCATTACTAACCTGACTCAGACGGTGTGTTTCACCAAACCATCTGGGAAAGCTCCATTGGAAGCCATTTGGAAAAGTATTTCAAAAACACTTGGCAGGTGATTGGATCAATCTGTCTATCACCTACTATCATGGGCCACTTCTGATTGGTTAACAATGACTGGTACATGTGGAGCACAGCACTTCTGATTGGTGTGGATGACTGACAAACAAGAAGAACAAAAAGAAAAGAAAAAGAAAACTACAAAAAATTGCGATTTCGATTTAAAATCGATTAATCGTTCAGCCCTTGCCCTTGAGAGGAAAAAGGTTCCCCACCCCTGCTGTAAATAATAATAAAAACCCTTGATTTATAACTTAAAGGGGACCTATCATGCAAAATGCACTTGTGTACGTCTTTTATACATGAATATGTGTCCCCGGTGTTCCAGGGAACTCACCAAGTGTCAGAAAACACAACCCTCTCTATTTTCCTCCATACCCAAATCTCTAAAAAAGAGGCTGCAACGGATCTGATAAAAACTGATCCAGATTTGAACACTGTCCTGACGTCAGGAACGAGGAGCTCCGCCTATATGGCCAACTCTCCACCTATCAGGGGAATGAGAGGTTGCCGTGGCATGGTAACAGCATGGTAACATGACACTCGTGCCTCGGCCCCCTCCTTTGCAGGGGGGCGAGGTCAGCTGCAGCGCATGCAAAGACAGGGTGGAGGAGAGCAAAATAGAGCAAAATGATCCATGGCTAAAATGCATGATCTGTTTGGTATTTTGAAAAAGAAAACTTCACAGACATGTTTTATATAGGTATGGCCCTACAATATATTATTCAAATATAGCATGATAGGTCCACTTTATAATATACTCAGATCAATAGGAGACAGAGATGTTAAAGAATATCCAGTTAATTGAAGCATTATAGCACAGGCCTTTGTCAGATGGTATATTACACTGTTTTTTTTCTGCTTCTAATAGTTCTCTCTTTTTTTCACCATACGTGTGTTTGCATCCCTGAACACCCCTTTAAGAAATGAGTGTCACATTCAAAAAGACCAAAGCCTGCTGTAAACAATAGAATATGTTGAAGGAAATGTTATTAGTGGTAACATCACAAAATAAATGATCAGATGCATTTCTTTAAGCTTTTTGGAAACATATGCAAACAAACAATTGTCTGATAATTACAAAACTAGAATCTCAATCACTCTCACTGCACTGTGGCTCCTTTGTTTTTGAAAGATAGCATGGCAGCAATTAGGCACGATGTTACTGATGCCTGAATACATTTAAGATAATCAATCTATTTCAGTTTAAGTGACAGTAAAAAGGACATCTGTTAATAAACTAAATGCTCCTTTGCATTTCCCTGCTGCCTCTGTTCCGTTGCGTTGAGCAGCATCACCTGTACGAGCTGATGACCAGGAAGTGGCTGACGGGCTCTCACGCTGTGGACACCATCTGCGTGACGGTGGAGGACTACTTCAATGACTTCAACAAGATCAAGAAACCCTTCAATCAGGTAGGAGGAGAGAAGCCCTGTTGGTGCAGCGATGATGTGTTTCAGTCGGCTGAAGTTAGCAAGGCTCCCTCTGCAGAAAGATCTGGGAGTACTGCAGGAGATCAACTCTGTGGCAAATACATGTTTATGATACTGTCATGTTTTGTTCAGCAGGATAATCCCCACATATAAACAGCACTTTATAATTGATGAAACGTAAATGCAATCACCAGATGTAAAAACCTATAAACAAACGACATGACAGTCACATTACCCCACATCACCACAGCTAAGCTAAACGTGGCTAATGTTTGGCATGATGAACTTCAGTTTATATTAGTCACTTGTTAGCAACTGCAGTTTTAAGACATATTGAAGCTTCAGACATCACCAGCAGGGTCTTTACTGACGTATTTTATGTTGTTTAACAGAACATGAACATCTCTTTGGCTTTATCTTTTTTCAGCATAAAAAAACATGTTAAAAAAACTTTGATATGAGGAAATATGAACAAATGTTTGGGTTCCAGGACTCATTCCTGCACCTCTCTGTGTGACTGCGGTCTTATGACACGTTGTGTGTGTGCAGGAGATGACGAGCGAGGCCCTGCGCAGGGTGGTGGTGGAGTACATCAAGGCGGTGATGCAGAAGAGGATCACCTTTAAGAACGCTGATGAGAGGAGGGAGGGGGCAGACAGGATGATCAAGGAGGCCGACCAGTTCAAGTTCCTCTTCAGGAAACTGGCTGCTGTGAGTGCACATGAAACACTTTTCACTGTCAGCACCAGCATCACAGGGGTAACTAACAATGAGGGACAGCCACACAACACAAAGTCAATGCAAACATGAGAAGGGATTCAGTTCACTGGTGCTAAAGATATTTTAGCCACCTGTGTCATCAATAATAAACATCAATAAGGCCTTTCAGTATTTATATTCTATATTACAGTAAATACACATGTATGTATGTAAACAGTACCATAGCTGCCATAGTTATGCCTTTTATAGATGAGGTTATTTTAAGTGTTGCTGGAGTAGCTCCAATATTGATCATTCTTTCCAAACCTAATTTACAAAACAGGCATTTTTAAGGGCTTTGCTTGTCATCTTGCAGAAAGACCCATAAGCATGAATTCAAACTTTTTACAAATCAGCATCATGGTGTTATTCATTCTGGATCCTTGTGATCTGGTAATTGCAATTTAAATCCAAAAAGCATGTGTTTTGGGTGATAACGCAAACAAGAACAATTCAGCCCCCTGAACGAACGCAAGAAAACACCAATGATGTTCTGATGAAGTTACGTGCATGAGGAGGGCAAAGAACAATGCATAATACCACATGTACAGCACATCTGGTGTTGCTGGGGGATTGTCCCTCCCCCCATTCATTTAGAATTAGATGAGAATAAATTAGATTTACTTTATTGATCCCAAACTGGGAAATGGTCTTGTCTTAGCATTATGTAAAACATGTCAAATATGTATTTCAACAGAGGCTCTCTATTGAATACATAATATAAATATACAGAATGAGAACACACCATAATAGACCAACCTACTAACAGAATGTAAACCGAGGATGCTATTTACAGTATTTGCAAAGTAATTGTAGTAAATGAATTTCAAATGTTCAAGTGTGAGAAACAATATATACAAATAAATAAAGTAGGGTTAGGGGTGCACACAACTTTCTCAGTGAGGTACTCAGATGAGTACCTGGAGTCAGTGTGTGGTACTCCAACTCCGCGCTTTCGCGATTGTCAACGGGGGGGGGTGGTTGGTAGTGGAGTACAGAGCTGTACAGACCGACGTTAACAGCAGCCCTGTCTGTGCACACGGAGACCGACTCTGTCGTCCGGTGATCTAACCGCCTTCTGGAAAAGCTTCACAAGTACGTCGGTAAGCAAATGCGCTTTGTGACACAAGTGACGGTACGCATTTCAGATTGTTGCCACGCATGCGTACCTGCGTACCAGTTATGTGCACCCCTGGTTATATAGTACTTTGAATGTGCATCAGTAGGGAATTTTAAAGCGACCTGTGGTTAAAAGCCAGTTGAAAGAGAATCAACTTTTGGAGGATTGCGACCCTTAGTAAAAGTGCATGAGCCAAACACACATGGGCCCTTTCTCTAATTCCCCTCCTCGACTCCCCTCCTCGACTCCTATCCTCGTGTCTTAGTCCCGCCCACAGGAGATGCGAGCGGAGGAGCCGAGGAGGGGAACCGAGGAGAGAGGAGGGGAAGCAGCAGGCGGTTAGAGAAATGAGAACTCCTCTCCTCTGAGCGGTCATTTTAAAGAGACGTCCATTAATGATGACAGGAGGCACAGCAGCCCTCTGTCTGATGGACAGATGTGTTCATGATGACTTATATATTTACTTTGATTCATTCACAGTGCGGTATAATGAGACAATAACAGGCTACAGATGCAGACATATACACACACATATATTTATATAAATATATGTGTAAGTATGAGAGCACTCTCATAATAACGTACCGCAATCAGAGACTGGATATATCCCCCCAAGCAGTTAATAAAATAATATCCAGGGGATGCATGCAGAGCTGTCATTGAGATAATTCTCTGTTGCCGGAAATAAATCCGCGGACTGGCGTGGAGGACCCATCAGTGTATCCTCGGTTAGAGCTCCTCCAGAGAGCCTCCTCGATGCTCGATGCTCGGTCCTCGATGTGCATTTAGAGAAATGAGATGTCCTTCAACATGGCGCGCTGAAATCCATTTCCGGGTCACTACCGGAGGACCGAGGATTCGATGAGTCGAGGAGGGGAAATGAGTGAAATGAGAAAGGGCCAGTGTGATCCAGAGCTGGACTCTGTGGAGGACAGAGAGAGGGAGCAGTCTGACTCTGTGCTGGTTGCTGCAGGGTGAAGACACTGACCGGCTGTGTGGAGCCATCGCTGCCATCGCTGAGGTCTTCAAGCTGACAGACCCCACCCTGCTGTTCCTGGAGGTCACCACGCTGGTGTCCAAGTACCCCGACATCAGGTACACACACACACACACACACACACACACACACACACACACACACACACACACACACACACACACACACACACACACACACACACACACACACACACACACACACACACACACACACACAATTACAATTAAAGGTACTTCAAGCTGTCGTTTGTAGAAATATGTTTTACTCCTGGTGGTTGTTTGAAATAATAAAGTGTTATATATGCATAGTGCTGTGTGCTGCTGCTGAGATTGAGGTTTGGGCTCTGACCGGGTAACTCTGAGACATTAACATTGTTTCTTAGGAATCATTCCTTTGTCCCTGTAAGCCATGACAGTATTCAAGCAGGAAGAGAACCAGATGCAGTATGGCAAAATGCAGTATCGGATGGTGCACGCATAACTGTTGAGGAAATATTTTCCTAGGCCCATAACTTTGACCCAGTTTATCAGTTTTACTGCCCTCTGCTGTGCTCTCTATGTTTTGTCTCCTTATTCCTGCCTGGTGGCGTCAGCTGATAGGTGTTATAGTGCTTCTCTGTTTGATCTTGTTATGCAGAATGTTGATTATTCTCTCAGAACCAGCTAAATACATGGGACTGGGGGAGAGAACTTCAGGAGCTGTGTCGCCTCGTGGCTGCAGCATAACTTTTCGACTCTCTGGCCGTAACTTCCGATAACTTATTCAGTGTGTGCCATCAAGCTCCAGCTCTTCCGTGTATCATTGTGTTTAGACTCCATGCTCCAGAAGTTTCCATTACAAAATGTTTCACTATGAAACGCTGCACACTACTCACACTCATCCACCACCATCTTGGCTACTTAGCAGAAGTTACACAACCAGTCGCAATTGTGGTGGAGCCAAATATTTTGTTGTTTCCAATTGAATAATTACACCACTATACTGGTGTCAAAAGAAAGCCACTTGTTATTGTATCAGGTTTATTTAGCTTTTTGTAATGATTTGCTACCACAAAGACGTTGCTCGCTAGCTGCCAAGCATACAGCGGCAGTCATCACTTCAGGTGTGGGCACATCAGCAGTGTGGGTTCAGAGTAACGCCACAGAGGTTAACAGGGCATAACCTGCAGTGAACTAGGGATAGTATCCAAATTGAGACACAGTACACATGTTACTTTAAAAGTGTCTTGGGTGAGTTTTACACATGAATAATATGAGGTTGATAGCTAAATGCTCTAACACTGACTCTAATATTGTCCCTCCGGCTCTCCGTAGGGAGGAGCACATCCAGGCGTTGCTGGCGGTGCGGGGCGACGCCAGCAGGGAGATGCGGCAGATGATCATCGGGACTCTGAGCGAGAACAAAGTCACTTACTCTGCTGTCACACAGCCCATCTTCAAAGACATCGCCGTGCCAACCATCACCAACACCATGACGTCCATGACCTCCATGGCAACCGCAAAGCTGCTCAAATAAAGCCAGTCACCGTGACACTATGTCCACCTTCAGAATCCATAACATAAGCACATTTCATTTGATTGTTTAATTCTGTTTGCTGTGCTTTCTCTCCCCACCCTTAATGTTTTTATTGTCACCCTGATCACTTCTGCTTCAGCAAATAATACAATTGTAGTTGTAATAATGTGTTGGATGAAAGAAAGAGAATGAATAAAGAAAGACATCTTCAAGATTATAACTGAATCCTCCTACTGTCTGAAGCTCAGAAAGGTCATTTGTGTTTAATCTTTGAACCACAGACATCGTAGAGAGATCTAGAGTAAATGTACTTAAATACATGTCACCAAAGCTTACAGCTAACGTTAATCCTATCCTTTAGAAACATTAAATGCATCTGGCAGAATATTGGCTAAAGACATTTTCACTATGTAGTGAAACTGTTGCCAAAGTCAAACACATGGGACAGTTTGAAGGCTCTATAACTATTTATTTTGGGCACAGTACAGGCCACCACATGCACGCTGTGTGTGATTTACACTCGGCAGACTCTCATTTTGAACACAAATCTTAAATAATTCAACAAAGCAGTAGTTAAAATCTGTAGTTTTTACATCAGCAAACCTGTTCAACAAGAGTTTACATCCACTCAGTATTTCGTAGATACTACTAATATCTTTTAAGATTGTTACCGTATACTATTGAAATGTCAAGTTTTAACATGCACAACAGAAGTATTGAATAATACCAAACAATGAAAAATGTGCTGTAAAGGATTTCATGGTGTGACAAAGTAATTTGAGACCTTGGGGCCTGTATCATGGAGTGAGATTAGTGCGTTAGCTATCTTTGGCTAACAGGTTTTCTGCTATTGTGAAGCTGGTTAAGTTGTTACAGAGAGATCACAATGATACACAGCTAAAAGCTCCAATGAAGATTCAGTTCAGAGGAACCGATTGGAATACTGATCACGAGCCACATCTACAGGATCATGACAGGGACAAAAATGCTGCGTATAAAATAAAGAATACATTACAAACAGTACATTTTTTTATACATCAGTTTTTTACGATCCAAACAAGGAAACTTTAACCATGTTGTCTCCTGTAGCTGGGTTTCAGGTTGACATGTGGACAAATCACTGCAGAAAACAGGAAGTGACTCATTATTTCTTGCGTGGCACCTTGTCGCCCAGCGGTTCTTCATCCATCAGTTTCTGCAGAGACCACAAAGGATGTGTCACATGATTACAAATAAATAGTGTGACATACAGAATAAAAATACATGTGGAATAGATAAGGATGGTTTTGTTTCATCTGGTCCGAATAATATGTTTCAAACACAAGCTATTACCATGATGAACTGCTGAACATTTCTGAATCATTCATTTCTAATGATGTTTTACACATTTCTCAGAGTCAAAGTAATTCAGTAAAAGACATCTATTAGTTGAGTCTAGGAGGGGGGGCTCACTCTGTATATCTTTAAAACCTTTGTTAGAGTTTCACCATATAAACTCTATTTTTTCTTTTATCAATGCTGAAGACTTTTCTGTTTGCTGCTGCGTTTTAAATCAAATAACTATTCATGTCCTACATTATTATACTTTATTCTGTTTTATTTGCATTATCTTTACCTTCTAAGGGCTCTTTTTTAAATACATTTAAATGCACTTAGACTTGTTGTTGAATAGTGCTTTATAAATAAACTCACCACTTTACCCTGATGGTGACAGGTCTGGCCAATAATGAAATCCCTATCCTCCCAACAGACATTTCACTCAAATGCAACATGACCTCATGGTGGCGCTAGAGATACAGTACTCCAGTTCCACTAGGTGGAACTGACTGACAAGAGCCATGATGCTAGCATGGCTAAACCAAGCAACCAAAGTGTTATTAAACACACACAAGTAGCCTTGTCTGCTGTATGCCTCACACTATCACACAAATGGTTAATAGAAGATCAAGTGTAAAGACATTCTGACTAGATTTTTGACAAATTGGCAATATTTCGTGTGTATCATCTTATTAATATAAAAAATACAAATATTGAAATAAAAATATTGATCAAATACACACACACACATTGCGCTGACCTGCAGCAGTCGGCTGAAATAGGTGAAGCTGTCCTCCCCCTCCCTGCGGGGGTCCTCCACCTTGTACCTCCTGCAGGCCAGCAGCAGCTCGTTGGAGCTGTAGAGGGGGGCGGGGTCTATGGAGTGGCTGTTGATGAGACTCACCAGGTACTCCCTGTAGTGCTTCCTGGAGACAGACCAAGACATGTTAGTGACACAGCATGCAGCTTCCTGCTCGCCTGAGAATAACATGTTCGGATGTCACCCGTTTTCTTTTTTACAGCCTGCCTCTTTTTTCAGGAGTACAAAAGACCCCCAGCACCAATACTTGCAACAAACTGTTCTGTCTGCTGCCAGACGGTACCGCAGCATCCAACCATGAGAGATTAAAGGTCTGACTGAAGGATGACCACCCAGCACATAAAACATGTTTGCTCGGGTTGGAATGAGACGAAGAAATAGTGAATAAAGAAGTCATACTCGCAGAGTCCAGCATGTCCAGGCTGAGTCTGAGCTGCACAGTCTGAGTCTGGCTGCTGCCCCCCCTCATCCTTCTGCTCTACCACTCCACACAGGCCTGAGACAGGAGGAGGGTCACAAAGAAAGAAAGAGGGACAAAGAGCAGAGGGAATAGCAACAGAAAGCAGTCAAGTTGCAGTTCACATCCATGTCTGTCAAAGAAGCAAACATCAGCCCATTTGAGGTATTATTATCAAATAACGTGCAAAATGGCTTCTTTTATGGCAACATGCACAAAGCCTGAACAAGTTAACACTGGAAGTTGGTCGTGGTGATAACCATCATCTGTGATTGGGGTTTGATGTTTTTGAACCAGCAATGCCAAGAAAGCTGGACTCTGTTTGTTTGATCATCCCTCTGACCCACCTGTCTGTGTTCCAGGGGGGGGCTCAGTGTTGAAGGCCACTCCATTATTCTGTAAGTCACAAAGACAAGGAAAACAAGCTGTGTTCAAAAGGTTGTGTTTATCTCCACCAGCCTGCACCTGGTGTACCTACATCTACCTCATCTCATTTCTTCATTTCCTGTCCATTCAACATGTGTTTTCCCTCTCTACTTCCTGCCACTGTCAAAGTCAACTTTAATGTCAATCTTACTCAGTTTGTGTTTACAGACAGATCAAAATGACCTTTCCAACAATCCCGAATGTAAAATTATACAGTATACAAATATGTATAAAATATGTATATCCTATCCCACAATCAACAGACACATTTAGACATATTATGCACACATTAAGATAAACAAACACAACAATCAATATATACAAAATAACAGTAACTTCAATATCAATATCTTTGGTGCAAGAGTGTCCATAAAATGTGCATTTATTGCAGATTGTCCAGAGCAGCGTAACAAAAAGTGTCTGGTGCTGGATTGAAGTGTGTGGGGGAGTTATAGTCAAGTGGGGGCAGGGGAGAGAGGGGGGAGATGGGAGAGATGGGAGGGAGGGGAGAGAGGGAGAGATGGGGAGAGATGGGGAGAGAGGGGAGATGGAGA